ACGACGGGTCAAATCAGTCGATGCTTGCATCAAGACCAGATGTAGAAGTTGTGCAATCGGCAATTTTCACGTCCATTAACAATCAAAATGTGCATTCTTACGTATTTGCGGCTCCTATTGTTGTCACTTGCGTCTATTTTAACTTGAACCGTTGTGTTGTATACTGTGGAGGTGTGCAAAGCTCTGCACAGCACAGAGAATCAAACTGCTCGTCCTTTACCGAAGTTTTATGCACACAATTTGAACTACTGAGATGTGAGTTAATTTTGAGAAGAAGATTCTCAAATTGTGGTCCCACGTTTGAGGAGGAGGGGAGAATGAGAAATGGACCTGGTGGACCGTTAAGGCAACCGACCTGTTCAAGATGTTATTGTCAAGAGGAAGGCGGTGTTAAATGGGACACTTTTGTTCCCCGACGCCTTCCCCCCACTCCCCTCCCAATATGTATTTTTTTCCATGTATTGCTTACTGTGATAAAAACAACCCCTAGTGCGAGGTCATTTGACCTTTGACCAAGACTCAAGACTTCCCACTAAGTAAAAAAAGGCATTAAGTAGGGCTAAATGCACGCATTCCAGACGTAAAGAAAGGAATTGGGGCGTTGGCTTGGTCCGAAGGCCACGCCATGCACACAATACCGAGACAAATTCATAATGCAGCCGCCAGACATACAGATAATCACTTTAACAAAGTATACGAACACAAACAGACAACTCGCACGTTCACAGGCACACACCGCCAGACAGTCAGATATTGCAGACTGCTTCTTCCCACTTCGAGGTTGTCAAATTTGTGCATGGCACAGCCTAAACACAAATAACTTGCTTTAAAAGAGGTCAAAGAGGAGCGGCATTGAGCGGCCTGACCGAGTAACACGCGATTGCATCAAGCGTTGGCTTTGCAAGACTTTCTTACTTTGTAGTTTGAGTGCGGCTGTGGCGTCGTCGTTTCCAGCAACAACAGCGTGATAGTCAAAAATCATGGCAGGGTGTGTGTAGAATGCAATATTTCACCATGTTAGAAGCCAACACATTTTCCTTCCTGAAAGAATGAAAAACTGGGTTTGCAAACAACTCAAATCCAGCACCTAAAGAACGCATTTGTTGGGGTGAAGGTCTTGCGTGATTAACCAGCTCATTCAAGCCCACTTGTGGAAGTGAAGTTGTCGACTTTAGACTGAATAATCGGAGGAAGTGAAAATCTCTTCTGACATTTAAAGTACTCGAGCAATCGCCGCCACGACGTGCATTGAGGTTCTGTGGCAGATTTGTGCAACCAAACGTACAATCGGGTGGCAAAAAATTGCTCAAGCCGAGCTGTTGTGTGCTTGATCCCGACGACCGAACCTCTACTTTTCAATTTGTGCTTAAAATCTCATTTTTCTTTCGCACAATTCTTGCATCTACACATTTGACACAACCATGACGAATGGATGACCTCAAAGCAAAGTTGAGAACAAACGCACAGACGGGTTCCATCCCAATCGCCTTGAAGCACTGACAAAGGCCAAGAAGTAAGTGAAGTGTGGGTCATACCTTGTGCAACTAGAACGGTAGTTAAAGTTTACGTCTTCTCTGAACGAGTGGTTGTCGGTCGAGGTTGCAACCTGTGCACCCTTCCTCTCCTCCCCCTTCTCCGCATCCCCTATTGTAGTCTTCGTAGAAGGGGAATTATTTGATGCTGATTTGTTGGACAGAAAGTTGATTGAATGCGATTCAACCGCATACAGGGAGAAGCCTCGCGCTCCACCTCCACAGTTTTAAAAATCGATTTCCCGCCTTTCTCCAATAAAGTACAATTTAAACAAATTATACACACAAGAGTCACAAGTTGTAAATTATTTCAAATCGCGCCTCTTTAAAGAAACTTCAGACTCACCTCTTTCCTCGCAGTAGTGACAAATGTCCGCGTCGACTAACTTACTGCATGCAAGCAACGAATCGCAAGTCTTTTTCTCCCACCTTTTGCCACCAATTTTACGGGCGTGAACTTCGTAGGAAGAACATCCCTCCAAAGTCTTCTGATTAGCCATGCGACTAACCATCTTGCCATTCACCCCAACGATTTTAGGCAAATGTGACATTTCAAATCCACCATTTGCGATTCTACGAAGCGGACTTGGCCGTGGCTCCAGAAATGCATTTTGGTGCAACCAATTGAAACTGCGAGGAAGTTGGTGTATGTCGCACTCATACAACAAAATCTCTCAATGTCTTGCGTTGTGCGAGTAACATCGACCATATTTGTTTGACTTTTGATTACAAAAGAGACTTTGAAGTGGGAGTTTGCAAATGCGAATACAATCGTGGGTTTTCTAGCAGTTCATCGTCAAGGTTTAACACTTGCTAGGCCCGTAGACGACCGATGCTTCTTAAAATACGCCTATTTCACCTTCAGTCTGGTAGGAAGTGTCAAGATGTTGCAATGGTGACAACGGAAAGCATTCGATAAGGCAGCGAAGGGATTAGACCTGACGAATACCAAAGTAATCCTCTGAACAAAGTATCTTTTTGTCCCTCCGTTCTTTTTAGTGACATTCACGGCGAACTCAACAATCGCTCCACACGCCTCCGTGCCAGTCATAGCAACATGTCTGGTGCTAGAAGGAGACATCCACGAGTCAGCCGCTCCGGGCTTTAGTTACCAAGAGGCTGAGGAAGTGTAGTTGATCTCCTCAGCAGCTTCAATGGGATGTGAAGTTACGTTCTGTGTGAATTTCATATTGAGAGGAGATCTCGTGTGTAGGGCTGGACGTTGGACTGGCAGGAAAGAGGTGACCTCGACCATCTACTCCCGGCTGTGGGAAGGCGACCTACGAAGCAAAAGCTTTCCAAAATTGCGCCATAACGGTGTCGCTTCAGTTAGTATTTGCTTGCTTGTGAAACATGAAAATGGCGTAGAGCCAACCTCAGACATCATTCTCAGCCCTTTTGTTGCGAGGAGTTGAGGGGATTTGCCTTCCAAACTACGTGCACCTCCTTTGCATCGTGGATGTGTCACAAATGGTGAACATCAGAAAGTGGCTCACCGCTTCGGTCCACCTCATTGCGCAGCGTCCGCTCGTGATGAAAGCGGATGGAGGGTCGGTGGCGTGTGATCGCAGATTGCACTTCTCTGCAACGCACTTTCATCCAAAATCACGATCACAGACTCGTGTCGGTAGTCACTAGTGCAACGAACCTCTTCTTCAAGGAGAAGGTCTTCACCCACCATTTACTCGAAGCATGCCGATCAACTCGGCACATCATCAATGCAGCAGTGGAACCTTTGCCTCCAAGCAATTGACTTCTGCCTCAATCTCGTTGAACTCAAAATATCAGCCACTTTTATGAAGTCAGGGAAGCACATTTGAATTTGTTGCCATTTGTAGAGGCTGACTGGTACAAACACTTTTACTCTGCTGAAAGTCTTTGCATCAAACCAACTGACTCCTTGTCAAGTAAGTGTCAACACCACGCGACAACAGGAATGGGGCATAAGGAGGCGATGCAGAAGAAAAAGTGAAATAAATAACACCGAGTAGGATCACTAAGGTTGTCAAAGTGAAAGGCAAAATGAAGAGCTCAGACACACCTTCACACCAAACTATGTAGTTTGGTGAAGTGTTGAAGCACGTGCTGTTGACTTGTGTGATTCCGTACGCACAGAGTAGGGGTGAGAAGAGGGGAAATTGGCCAAGTTTGTGTTATTCTCCAAATTAGTGATACTTCTTTTGCACAAAAGGCGACCACGAAGGAAGGCATCTGCGCTGCCACACTCTTACTCACCCACCGTTGTCCACTTCGCCAACAACAGCAGCCAAAGTGGCTTGACAGTCGCTCTTCCACGAAGGCTATTGCAAAGACGAAGCAGTTGATATGTCCAAGTCAGCCAACAGGGTGACTAGAGGCCACCCCACATGAAGCACCAGCTTATGATGCAAGTAGGTGACAAGTCGGTGAAGTGTGCAACACGCAACACATGACTGCACGACCTATGCCTCCTTTCACCTCTGAAGTTTAGACTTCTCTGCGAATTAGTACGAGGCATTCAAATTTTTTGGCTGATTTTCCTTTCATGTTCGTGGCAGGAACTGTGGGTTACAGACTCACCTTCACTTTCACATTTACACATCATACAAGACAAGACTTCTACAATACTTTGGTCAGCCGACAAGGCAGCACAAGTTGACCGGTAGACTTAAAAACACTAAGCATCCTCATTTATTAAATTCAAAAAGTACTTACTCGAGGCCATAAAAAGAGATGTGGAACTTTCATGGGATCAACAAGGCTATGCAGTGTCCAACGCCCTACTTATTTCATAATCAGCGACCTCACACACATTGGCTGTTTATCAAGTTAAAGAAGGTTTTGCACTTTTATGCATCCTTGCCTGTATATCTAACTCACATGTTCATACACACAAAAGTATGTGTTGTAACGGCTTGTATGAACGCACAAATGGGTCGCAAAAGGCCATTTTATTGGGCTGTGGAAGCCTTCTTGATGCATACAAATACACCATGCGTTGGAAGGAGGCACAATTTGTGCAGGCACAAACCATGATTCTCCAACTTTGCCTTGTGTTATTGGCAGCGTTTATTCTGAATGAAAATTTCGCGCAAGCAGATTGTAAGTGGCTCATTTTGAAGCGCTCTTTTACTTGTTTGCGTAGGTGTCACTGCATTCGATGGTTGATAAAATGCGTTTGAACGGTTCCAGTGCAGCATAGAATTGCGTGGGGCACAGCTACTTGTCACTTTAGACCGATCTGTTGACACTCTTCCGATAACAGAGCCTGGTGTTGTCTCTCTGTTACTTTCTTAAGTGCCTCATAGCCACCTTACAGTGGTCGACTTCTCGCCTCTTCCCTCTGCGTATACATTTTTTTAAGTTCGACTTTAGTGTGACACGAGTAGTAGTGACTTTGTCATACTTAGCAATACTACCAAAAGCCTAACTCATCACTCTGAACCAGTCTTGTGCTCCCCTTGGCATCGTCCTTTTACCGTTTTAGGGATGCGCAAACCAACGTTTAAGGCGGAATTCCTGAGTACTTTATCAACGCTTCAGATTTCAATCGACAATCCTTTGGGTGTTGAAGGAAGATTTGAAGGTTATGAGGTGCTGATGAAGGACGGCGGTCTCGTGTCCGTGCACCCGTGGCGTTCAGTGGTCAACCTCTCAGCTAGTGAACGTCACTATAATGTAAGGCGAATTCAAGCCCCAACGCTACGATCAGTCACCGTACGTGGACGCCTTTCGGCCGACCAGTTCAGTGCTTTGGCGGAACCAGTAGAATTCGTTGCATTGGATCCAGGCATGTCTATCATTTCCCTACATCTGTTTTGCTGCCTCAATGGCATGAAGATGCAATTTAATTGTAGTAAATGCTCTCACGCTTGCCCTCTTCTGCAGGTCTGTCTGCGCCCCAAAATGTCAAACTGATTCCCTTCGACTCTGACAGAGCACTCATGACATGGGATCCACCAATTCAATCCTATGGCAATGTCACTGGCTATTCCATTGTCAGTCGCGTCGGCAACGAGACCAGACCGCTAATTGATCCGCCCCCCGACCGAACCTACGTCTTCAAAGACTTGAAGCCAAATCAAACACTATCCGCCTTTGTTTTTGCAACTAGTCAGCCAGAGTCACAGGTCAACATAAAACTCAGGGGTTATCCCTCTCATTTTCTATCCCTAACCAAGCCACCTGCAACAGGAGGTAAGTCGCATCTACTCGCATGCTTTTCATTCACTCTGTGGCTGCGATGGCAGTCCAAAGTTGTCGCCTTTAATGAGGGTGGATGCGAGTTTACGCAAAAATGCAATCGGACTGTTAGCTTCAGAGTAGCCTACACCTGTCTCCTCTTAATTCGAGTCCCAACGTCCCAAGTTAAAGGATGCCAATCCCTTCACCCATTCC